GCATAAGTGGTTCCTCAATTTACACAAGGTCACCATGTTCTTCCTTATCTCTACACTTTTATTCATGTCTTCTCCTCTGCCTGAAAGACTTTTCTGACTAGTGATCTTATTATTCTTTAATGACCTTTTAAAACTGCCTCTTCTGTGAAGTTTCTTGTCCAACTAGTTGGAATTAACTTTTCTTTCCTTGATCTTAACTTAAAAATTCCTTGTCTTGGTGATTAAAGGGCACTGCATCTGTACCTTCCCTGGCTATTCATGACTCATTGGGTAAATTTCAAACCCTCCACATAATATACAAGACCTTTCCCACTTTGGCACCCTGCTTACCTCTCCTACTACCATTCTTTGAGCTATTCTTTCCTTTGCTCACTCAATTCGAGGCCACATGAGCCTCCTTATTTTCCTGGATTAGAACACATTCTTTTGCATATCAGAACCTTTACACCTGCTTTTTCCTTTGCTTGGAATGACATTTCACCAATTATTTACTTAGTTCACTTCTCATTTTTCAGACAGCCTTCAAAGGTTACTTCTTGTGAGAGGCTTCCTTCATCTATCCAAGCCTGGTAGATTGTGTTATATGTACTCCCAGCCTTCTGTGCTTTCCTCTTTCTTGTCATATTTACCCATAACTGTTTGTTTAATAGCTACTTTCCACTACACTGCAAGTGTCAAGAAGGCAAGAATTGTATGTGTCTTGTTCATCTACGTATCCTGAGTGCCTTGCACCATGCCTGATACTTAGAAATCATTCAACATATATTTGTTGAATAAAAATAATCTATTTAAACCTCATTGTAGAGATGGAAATATGGAGGCCCATAGAGGGAGAGGGATTTACTCAAGGTCACACAGAAAATCAGTGACAGAGAAGAAACTATAGGCCAGGACTCCTAAACTCTGGTGAAGTGCTCTTTGACATCCATGCACTCTACTATAGTACTTGTTACTTATACATGCTTATGTATCAGTCTGGCTCATAGACTAGGCTGTGAATTCCTTGAGGGCAGGGACCACATCTTCTACATGTGCTGTCCAATTAGCTACTTGCTATATGTGCCAGTTGAACACTGGGAAACATGGCTAGTCCAAATTGTCTAATTGTGTAAAATGCACACTACATTTCAAAGAATGTAAAATATCTCATTAATACATTTTTACATTGCTTACATGTTAAGATAACATTTTAGATGCATTGGGTTAAATAAAATATATTATCAAAATTATTTTCACCTATTTATCTTTCAAATTTTAATGTAGCTATTAGAAAAAATTGTAGCTCACATTACATTATATTAGATATATATTACTGGTCTGTTATATATTTATTTTTTCTCCTTGGTACCAAGCATAGAGCTTTGTAGTCAGTAAGTGCTCAACACACCATTGTTGAATAAAGTTGAACTGTTGTTGGTAGGTTAATTGCTGCCACCTCTCATGCCAATGTCACTGGGCTTGTGTGGAACATCACAGTAAATCTTTTGTCCCCAGGCCCAGGTGTACATGAAGTTTTTCAGTCCTGGCTTGGGGGTGCCTTATAAATATCTTCAGCCTTTAGTTCCCTTTCAGAGGAAGCCCCATTGCAATCATGTGCACAGCAATCACCAGGGTTAAGGTGGATTGTGTAGACACTGGCCTCTTGCACAGGAAGTGGCCTCAGCTCTGCAATTGTTCTTGGGGACTTTTCTTGACAGGTTTCCAACAGGAAGTTGGGGGTAAGTGAACAGAGAGAGAAACTGGAAGTTAAAGGGAGGCCTTCTCAGTTTCTTCATGGAGGTGAGGCAAGCTAAAGAGTGTGGGCAACTTGGGCTATGGGGATTCCTTCTTTTGCTAATTCACTGATAAATTCCTTTATTCAATTTGCAGTTCCTGGGAAACTATTTCATGTCTGACCCTGTGAAGAAAATAACGGACCAAACATGGTTCTTACTTTGGGCTGTTCTTGGTCTCCTGGAAGAGACAGACACATAAGGTAGTATGAAAAGGTTTTGGACACTAGAGGCAAGCAAAGCAGGGATTAATTATTTTCACTGGGAGAAGACTAGTCAGAGAAGTCTTTTCAAAGACAATGAGCATCATTATTTTCTCTCTCCATCTTTTGACATCTAGCTAAAATACTACTTTTCTAAGAGCCACCTTCTTGCCCCTGCCCTGGAACAATTACACCTTTCTTACCCACTCTTCTGATAGCACTTGTACCTTTGTCAAATTACTTATACTGAAGAAATACATGGTTCCTTGGATGCATGCCTGTCCAAAAATCCCTCAATATGATGTGATGGCTGAGGCTCAGACAGGCTGTGCCTGATTTTTTAAGGGCATATAGTCAATGAGTTATAGAGGTGGGTCTATAACTCAAGGGCTAAAACCTACAGTCCAAAGCAAAAGACTCTGACCTAAAATTCAGTTTTTCTTTCCATTCAAGTACTGAGTCCAGTGTGGGACTCCAGCACAGACTAACAGCTATCCCTACCCAACGCCCTTCTCTCTCATCCTCCTTCATAGACTTAGCCAAGTCAAAAAGCATCCAAAATGAGAGAACTGTGTATCTTTTGGTTGCACAACAGACTTAAAGGAAAGCTCCCTTTGTGCTGTTGCTGCAAAGTTGGCCCTTCCCAGCATGCTTTGTGCTTGTGTGGTAAAGAGGAACTCCAAGAATCCCAACGCCTTTGCTCTAATTCAGGTCTTCTGCATAAATGGCATGATATTCAGGTCTTCCTGGCTTCTAATGCTCTCTTCCATGGACATAGTGCGTGGCTCCAAGGGGCCACTATTAATTACTACTTTATGTAAAAACATTGTTTCCAGAAGGCCCGTGTTAAAAAAAAAAAAAAAAAAAACAGTAGAATACTTTAACTGATAGGTGAGGAAAAAAAGAGTGGGCAGCTGAACTTAATCTCTGTGGAGTGAGTAGAAAGGAGGGAGCCCCTCCCTGGGAAAGTGCCCACAGGACAACCTTGACTCCACCCCAAGCTTTAGTCAGAAATCAAAAATAAAAAGGAACTGAATCTTTCTAGAAGCTATATCTGGGGAAATTGGTCTCAAGGACTAGCCAATAAATTATTCTGATAGAAAGGAGTTTCTGCAGAATAGTGTAACTGCAAGTGAATCTCTATCCCAAGCTGTGCCTACAGCCTCTAAGCCCTGCTACCACAAGTACACAGTGAGGGGAGGGCAGGGATAGAGAAGTTTATAAAGAAACCAGGGAGTATTTGAATATTGAGCCACTAAGATCATCTAATCCAGCTTTTGTTGTTTAAATGGAAAACTCAAGCTAGGGGGGGAAACACAGCTGACAAACCTAGGACTGGGGCACAAGAGCCCTGGCTCCAAGCATATGGTCTTTTCTCTTGAACTTGAATTTATAAAACTGGATGTAGCTTGGATAGATTATTCAACAGGGCTTGAGCATGGTCCAGGGTACTACTTCTGCTATGTAGACTAAGGACTGGGACTTGAGCACTGTAATCATTGAAGGCAATCACAAGTATACCCTAAAAGAATTGAAAAAAAATTGCCTCTCTCTTCTTCAATACCATCAGGATTCATGATGTAGAATACTGCATAATGGGAATCAAGTGTCTTCCAAACTATGAATGGGGACTGCCCAAAGATTGCAAACATGTGGCACCAAGAGGTCACTCAATTTCTTCTCAAACTTTTCACGTCCTTCATGAAGCCTGAAAGTCACAGTTGAACTTAAGGATCTGGCACCATATTTTTCTTCTCAAGGTCAACTACTTTTTTCTCTCCTTGTAGCCAGTGTGTGAGAGTAGAAAAAGCCTAACTTTGGAGCCAGAAAGACCTGAGTGGAAATTATATCTTCTCCATTATTTCTTAGTTTTGTGTTCATAGGTAAGTCACTTTACTTTTATGTGCCTCACTTTCTTCACATATAAATAAGGATAATGATAATACATACCATACCAAAGGGTTGATGATTAATAAGATAACACATGTAAAGCACATAATTTTATTATTAATAGAAGTGAATTTCTTTCTTCCCTTCCTTCTTTAAGGCCTTCATGCCAAAATGTGATCTGTGGTCAGAGCTGTGCCAGCAGGGCCAGCTTTATAGGCATGTGACCTGTAAAGTTTTCCAGATCCCCATACTTAGAAATACCTCACACTTGGCTTAATGATGTTCTTCTTCTTCTTCTTCTTCTTCTTCTTCTTCTTTATTTTTGGAAAAGTTTATTTGTTTTGGGAGAGAGAGAGTGGGGAAGGGGCAGAAAGAGAGAGAATTCCAAGCTGCCCTGTCAGTGAGGAGCCCGATGCTGGGCTCGAACTCATTAATCACGAGATCATGATCTAAGCCTAAGTCAGATGCTTAATTGACTGAGACACCCAGGTGCTCTGGCATACTATTCTGCTGTCACCATTCTGAAATATTCTTTTTTTTTTTTTACAGGAGCCCCCCCCCCCATTTTCATTTTACACTAGGCCCTGCAAATTATGTAGCTGTACCAGGTGAGAAGCTGTGCCAGGGGAAGTAAAAAAGGTGTTTCAGGACCTGAAGACATTCTGACAGAGTGAGAGAACACATGCTTTGAAGTTGATAGAAGTGGATTTAAATTACACATATACCACTAATTTTCTTTTTTATATCAGACATTTTCTTTCATCCCTCAGATCTGTTTCTCAATTTTGACAATGTAGATTTTCATTTGATAATGTCTCAGCTCTGACATTCCTCATTAACTCATTAACCCATTTCTCATTAACTCTAGGGAAAACTCTGACCCATAGGTAGAGCCTAGGGCAGCCAGAGGCTTTCTGCTTCAACTCTCTGCAGCTTGGAGAACCATTGTCTGTAGGATGTCAGCTACAAATGGGCTGGGGGGTGCATGGCAGTGGGAACTGTTGCTGCAGTAATGGACCCTTTCACAATAGCACTGTTTTGTCATTTTTCACCCAGATTTCCGTTGGTTAACCTCAGCCTTAACTTCCTCATTTATGTTTCCTCTTGAAGACATCAAGGACCCTTCAAAACACACGATGTTCCTGCCCCAGGCAAAAAGCCCAGTTACCTCTGGCCACTGCAGTTTGGCTCATCATCAGGGAACCTTTGCCTCCTCCAAGACCAAGGCACAACTCCAGTAACAGGTATAATATCCATTTTCCCTCCCTGCTTGGATTCCCAAGCTGGGGGAGGTCCAAAGGTGGCTTGGACCTACCTACCCTATTCTCTTTGGACTCTCCTCAGGGATTCTGAGTGAAGGGTGGGTGAGAAGAAGGTTCCCATTGGTTTTCTATCTTGAAAATTCTAATGGTGAGAAGGAAAGATAACATTTCTTCCTCAAAAACATTGTTTATGAGCTAGCCACTTGGAAATGGAGTGTTCTTTGGAATCATGGGTCAGGAAATTTGAATAGCAGTCTTGAATTTGCCATTTACGCACTATGTATCTTTGATAAGTCCTCTCACCTTTCTAGAACACATTTTTGGCCTCTTATGCAAAGAAAAGGAAGGGAAATATTAGACGAATAGTGTCTAGAGGCTCATTTAGTTTTTATATCCCTTATTTTTATGGTTGTCGACCCTCTGTTGAGAAAGACATAAGAGAGATGCTGAATAAATATATCTGGGTGGGGCTGAATGAGGGGATTAAACCATGTCTAAAAAAATCCAGACTGCTTCCAGTATGAGGAGGTCCAACTGGTTCAGAAACAGGATACATCCTGCTGCTTGTTGTGTTAGCCCTGCTAGGGTAGATTAGGGGCAAATGATTTTATTTTGTGTAGTATGACACACTAAGAGAAGAGCTTTCAGAGTTCCTTAATACCTCTATGTCGATATTCATATTTTCTTCCCATGGGTTTGGCAAGCCTTTCTCAATTTGAACCTGTTTTTCTTATATACACTCATTTGGAGAGGCATGCAATAGAACATCAAGAGTGGGAATAAAACCTATCTGGTTTCAGCTCAGCCACTGACTCCTTCCATTAATATTGAGGTGACATGGTCTATAAGGCTCTTCAATTTCGAGTATACTAAGAAGGAATATTTAGCCACTTCATATTTCTCTCTCTCTCTTTCTCTCTCTCTCTGATGAAGTCAGAAAGAGGTTTCACGAGGCTACAGGCACCTCCAGTTTATCCAGGTCTTCTCACGGGAGCCGGTAGCCAATGAGGGTAATGATAGAGCTTTCTGGACATGAGTCCAGTTCTGTCTTGCCACCGTGAATGCAAGCTCTATTAATCAACTTTCTTGGCTGGCCTCCACCCACAACTCCAGGGACTGAGCCACAGTGCCTATTAGCTCCTATATGGGAAGCTCTGAAAAGCTGAGAAAACTTTCCTAACAATTCTGCCAGGTAAGTCTTCTTATTCCCATTTCCAGAGAAGACAACTGAAGCTCAAAGAAAGATTTTCCCAATGCCATGATTGGCTAGTTGGTACTCAAGGCAGCATTAGAATCCAAATTTGTCTGATTTTTCCCACTATACTGTATATGGTGACCAAGATTGTTGCTTTTGCTGCTCTGGGTGGCTTGGGATGAATTGACTGGTATGGGAAATAAGGGGATGGAGAAAATTGTTTATAGACTTGTATTTAAAGTCACTCCTATATTTCAAATTGGAGAAGCATGTCATCCTCTCATCAACATCTATTAAACTAAAGGAAATAATATTAAAAAAAATTGTTGTTCCTAAAAGACAAGTCCCTCTGCCTTGTCTTAGCTCAAATAGGGCCTTCTGGCCTCATGGGGTACTTTTCTGTTCCTGACAATCTTGTAATGTTTGCCACTTGTCATACCAGTATTTAATATGAGCCAGCTAATTTCTCACAGATCAACTGCCACAGCTGGAAAATGGAAGCATTTGACACAGACACCCTGGATTTTTTTTTTATCAACAAGATCTGCGTGTTGCCAAGGGAATTACTCTGTAAATTCCAGACATGACCATGTTCCTAACAGCTTCCTGATTTCCCTAATGGTTGTGGATTGAAAGATACCAATGCCTCACTGCCACATCTACTGCTTGTCTTTTGCCATCATTGTGGACGTGTCTCCCTTTTCCTGGAGAGAGAGAGATATACAGAGCAGAGAGCTAAAAGAAACAATGAGGAAAGCTGAAAGGCACAATGAGGTGATATAAGGCATAACCCTAAACTATGAACAACTTGTATAACCTGCAGCTACTTTCTTCTTCAATATTAACCTTCATTTCCTCATTTATAATATGAGTGGGTAAGACTAGATGATGTTTCGTTTATAGCTTCCATTCGTGAGTCCTGATGGGACAAGGGGGCCCATATTAGGCAAGGCTGAAGCCATACAACAGTCCTGTTTCATCTAGCCTGATCCTGTTAAATCAATTGTCACTGGCCCTTGCTTTCCTTCTCAATAGCACAACCACCATTTTTTGAATATCAAATACTGAACTAAAGGCTTTGCATACATTAACTCATGCCATTCTCACAATAACTTATTATGTAGGTACTCAAACCCATTTTGTGGATCTGGAAAACTGTAGCTCAGAGAGACGAGATAATTTATCTGAGGTTTCCCAGCTACTTAATGACAGTCAAAATTTAAGCCCATGTTTAACCTCAAAGTCTATGTTCATACCCACAAGACTGTGGGACATTGGAAAGTGAGTGGGGGGGCTCATGGATACTAATCTGGGGCCTAGTCTTTTCCTGAGGTCAGAGAAGCAGGACAATGACCAAATTCTCTCCCTTATGCATATAGGAGCCAACTGAAGCTTGGAACTCCAAGGAATGCTAAAGCTATAGCCCGAGGACCTCTGGGTGAGCACTGGGGCCTCATCTGCAGTCCCAGCTGGGCTTCCCTTAAGGATCCATCTTCTGGTTGGGAGACTTATGCCTGTTTTTGCTCACTTCCTTATTTTGATGTTTCTGCTAGTCCTTAGCCTTTGAAGTTTCTCTGGGGCTCAGGGTGTGACTCCTTTTTCTTTCATTCCCTCCAGGGCCATATCTCCCAGGAAGATCTTGCCTCCTCACTGAAGCTCCTGACCTGGCCTCCTGCAGTGCCACACTCCGTGTATTTGACAAGCTGAGTTGGACACTCCATGTGGTAGAGTGTCAGTTTGTCAAATACCCCAAGTGCGGCATATGCCTAACAGCTCCAAGCCAGGGCAGTTGGGATACAACAAATTGCCAGCTGAATACAAGATCACTCTCCAAACACAAACTAAACTTTCACAAGTTATTTTCAGTGACTTGAGGGAACTGAAGCATTGTATCTGAGGGTGCCAGGGGAAAAGTGAGGCAACTCTTGAAGCCACAGATCTGGAATGTTTCTACACACATTGTCAGAGCCCAAGCAGGACATAATGGTCTTGAAAAGGTATATGGAATCCAGGGATGGAAGTGCTCTTTGATTTGTATTTTTTTTCTTCACATTCCTCTTACAGAGTCTCCTAGAAAGGACACCAGAATTTTCACACAAGCTTCATGATAGGGCTTAGAAACCCACTTTCCTGACACTCAGCCTTGGCTTCTAGACACACTTTGACCTTATCTTTCTCTTCTTCTTCATGTCTTTTCTTCTTCTGGTAATACTTTATCTATTTTTTTCTGCCTACTCAATTATTTCTCATACTTCTGGCTCAGAAAAATTCCAGTCTCTCCAAGGACTTTTGAAAGTCAACCTACACTTTTTTTCTTCTTCATTTGAAGAACACACCTTGCCTTAGCCCTTGTATGTACCCATTTCTTCTATTGTCCAATGGCACCTCTTGAATTATTAATAAACTTTTGCAGTGGATATTTTTAATTCCCCCCATGAAATTGTGAGGAAAATACTGTTTTCTTGAATTGCTGTCTCCCCTTTCTATCCCTACATCCAGTAGCTCTGGTTGCAGAAAATAATACATCTTTACTGATTGACTTTCTACTAGACTATTATCCTTGGATTTGGGTCAAGATGCTATTCAGAAATTTGTGAAAAAAATTAAACTGTGGTCACCATAATGCTATAGGATATGTGAGGTAATAATCAACATTGAGGGATTTTCCTCCTGAGAAATAGGGTCAAGGACTGAAATGGAAAAGCAAAAACATATGCTCAGAGGACAAATATGTTTTGAAATTATTTGGTAACTCAAAGTTATACAGGTGTTTTATTGCAGAATTTTCAGTGTCTTTAATTTTCTAATGTTGCATTGGAAATCTCAAGTAGAAAGATTTACAGAATGAAGCATTTTTTATTCCTAATTGTGGATCCCCCCCCCCCCCCCCCCCCCCCCCCCCCCCCCCCCGAGGGCCATCTCTTGGTCAGAATCTGGGAAAATGCCCTAGAGGGACTCCATATCTTCTGTCTCTCTTTTGGAGATCTGCTTTTTTTTTTTTTTCTCTTCCAGCTTTCCCTGAATGGCTATCTGCCTAAGACAAATTCTGTTATCATCCCATGTTTGTTTAGCCTATCCTACAGTTTTGAGATAACCCTGTACCTATGACTCTCTTACTGACTTGTCTTGTATGGAAAAAAAATATTAGTTTTGGGGCAAAGATGATTCCTACTGCAATGAATATATGATCCTAACAGTTCACAGGCCTGTTTTCTGGTCTCTTCTCTATCACTGACTTGATGTATGTGATTTTATACTGTCATGTCCCTCTCTAGGATGTATTTCCTCATATGTAATATGGGAGAATTAAAATTAATAATCTCCAAGATTTCTAAGATAAGAGACTTTGAGATATCCTTTGGAATTCATAGCTTCTATGGGAGTAGCAGGGGAGTGTTCCTGGGTTTGGGAATCCTTTTATTAATTTACTTTGCTTGTGTTTTTAATTTTTTAAAACTTTTTTCAATGTTTATTTTTGATAGTGAGAGCAAGCTGGGGAGGAGCAGAGAGAGAGGGAGATAAAATCTGAAGCAGCCTCCGTGCTGTCAGCACAAAGTCTGATATGGGGCTTAAGCCCACAAAACTGTAAGATTGTGCTGAGCCAAAGTTGGACACTCAACTGACTGAGCCACCCAGGCACCCCATTACATTTATTTTTATTTTAGAGAGAGAAATAACATTCACAAGTGGGGGAGAGGGGAAGAGGTAAAGAGACAGAGAGAGAGAGAGAGAGAGAGAGAGAAACTCAAACAGGTTCCATGCTCAGCAAGGACACCGACTTGGGGCTCAATCCTACAATTCTGGGACCATGACCTGAGCTGAAATCAAGAGTTGGGTGCTCAACTGACTGAGCCACCCAGGCACCACTGAGGATCTTTTTATTAACTGACATGCAATTAGGATTGTCTTCCTAACTCCAATCATTTATTTCTCTAAGGGTAGTAGGAAGAGAATAATGGCTTTTTTTCTGAGCCTAAGGGTCTGGAAACAGCTGTTTCATGAAGGAAGCTGAGGTTTCCACTGGGTGGGTCCCTGTTTCAGAGGCTTGTAAGCATGATGGGGAAGAATAAGTTGCTCCTTTCACCAGCTATGTGAAGCTGGCATATGAGGATGAAGAAAATGCTGAGGTTTTGACCATGGACTTGGCAGGTTGATGGTGGCGAAGCAAAGGAATAATTCTTGTTCACTTCTGTGTACTATTTTGACTTCTGTAATCATCCCAAAAGAGAATCTCCTGGTGAAACCTGAGCTGACCTTGGGCTGCATTAGAACCCAAAGTGTCAAAAACAGCTTCCATGAAGAGCAAAGAAGTTTATTTGACATGAATTACATGAAGAAAAGGAAGAAGTGTTGAGTCAACCTAGAACAGGTCCTCATAGAAGAGATTGAAATAAAGGTGTATGCATGCGTTCACACATACAAATTGTCAAACACATGCATGCATGTAGGCATGAGCGCGCACGCACGCGCGCACACACACACACACACACACACACTCCTAGTTCTCATTTGTGCTTGAGGAAAAATATTTATTTGCTTGGACCCCCACATTGTAAGAAGACCAGAGTATAGGGATGACTTATGGTGAAGACAACTACTGCAAAGATTTCAGGATTCCAGGAGGTAGAAATCTTTGAGGGTGGTGTATTCATACTTTGGAAATAAATGGAGCCTTTCATCTCTGATTCCACAGTCCCCTGAAACAGAAGAGGGGGTCCCTCATTTTCAGGTTTCCAATTGACTTAAGAGAGTCATCCAAATGGAGTTGGCAGGATAACAGGGAAGGGAATGGAAGATAGTTGAATACGAATTTGCCAAATATTCATTGTGTCCCAGGTGGGCCCACATCTGAAGTAAAGTAAAGATGGTATGTGTGGGAAAGAGAAAGACAAAAAAAAAAAAAAAGAAAAAGAAAAAGTACTATTCATAATTCCAAGTCCCCAAACATCTCAACCAGTCTCATTTTAATCACTTGATAGGTACTCGAGAGAAGACCAATATAACCAAGGTTGCTATCATGATTTGATATTTATTGAGCACCAAAAGAATACCAGAGCACTAGACTCACAGCTCAGGAGCAAAACTTAACCCTAGCTTGTTACACAAAAAGGTATCTGGCCCTGAAGAAAGGGAAGTGATCCTGGACACAACCGATCCCCCAAGCAGGCAAAGCTGCATTTCCCTCTGGTCTTCTGGTGGCAAGAGACCAAAGCTGTGTGGTGTCTGGAAGCATGATGACCACATCTTAGTGCTATCGGAACTTCCCTCTGGTGTTTGAAAAGAAGAAGCAGAAGGGATAATAGAAGGGTCTAAGACATGACCCAGCAGCAGGCTTGCTTGAAGTGCATATAACTTCTTGGGCAAAGCCAGTCACTCTTAGAACTTCAGTGATGAAAGACCCATTGGGCTATCCAGGAATGGAAGTAGCAGGGAGGATGGCTGTGCAGAATTCAGGGGCTGACTAGGCAATTATGTCAGCAGACCATGGCCTACCAGGTGCTTTTTGGTGGTCAAAAACTCATAATCTGGAGGAACTGTGTGCAGCAAGCGAGAATAGTCACCATTGATCTGGGCGATGATCTGGTGCTCCTGGCCCAAGCAGGGATCGTCAGAGTAGTCATTGCCCGGAGTCTGGGAAGATGGCTCTTCATTGGAGCAGTCACTTGTGAAAATAGCCACTCTCCAGGTTTCACCAGAATTGCTGTCCTCCCTGGAATGTGCCCTGTGGCCCAAGATCCCACCACACATAAAAAGGGGCTTGAAGCTGGGACTCTAGTTTCCCACACCTCTGCCCCAATTCTTGCCAACTGACCCTTAGGCTCTTGTTACTAAGAGATTCTGGGAACAGGAGCTGGTGGGCCTGGATTATTCCATGTCATCAGTGGGCCAAGAAAGAACCTCCGGAGGTGCTTCAGAAGGGGAAGAAAGCTATTCCCTGACCCTGAAGGTCTCTGGGTTTAGAATTGGGTTTGTGCCAACCTCTCTTTCCTCCATGCCAGTGACAAACAGAATGAGGGCAGGGAAGGGGTCAGAAGATGGAAAAGCAGAGGTAATCTTACCTGGCCACTTCATAGACGTGCTCTAGAAAAGAAGAAATCAAGTCAGAAGTCTCCATGGGGAGTGGACAAGGGCCAAACATGGACACTGGTTACCAAAGAATGATGGAAGGAGAGACAAAAAGAGATATCTCCATTGGGAGGTATTGGGAAGATAAACTGAAACACAGGGATACAGATTTCTCAGAGAAAGGAAGAGTAAGTACACTTTGTTACTATCCTCTTTGGTATACTCTGGTTCAGGACATTGGGCTGGAACAGTTGCTTGGTGTGGTAGAGGAAGGAACACTAGAGCTGGACCCACTCTCAACCCAGAAATCTTGCCAAAGATCCCCAGGGAATTTTTGTGAAAACTTGGCCAGGCCAGGGCCCAGGCAGAAGGGGCTAAATTAGCCTCTCAGGCACCATGGCCTAAGCCATTTCCAAATGCACTCATCTCCACTCTGCACTCAGAAAAAATCCTGAAGTAGGTCAACATTTCCCCCTAGTGTCTGTGGAGGAGAACTATCTGCAGTCCGTGCAGGCTTAAAGGCTCTATAACCTGATACAAACATGGATGTTTCTTGGTACTTCCCTCTAGGAGTTTATAAACTTTCAAGAATGCAACTGGGAATGCATGCATTCAAACACAAGAAAGAAAACAGAGCATGCCACAGGTCCTCTGCTTTGTGATACAGCCCTGTGTTTCCATGTCTTACCTGCCCCACTGGCCTGATAGCTCCCATACCACAGGTGTTATCTATTTCATTTTTTATATGTCCACACTTTGGCACATAGTATTCACATGTTAAATGGAATTAATGGCCTAGGGCTATCTCCATTATAGAGAGATAAAAATAGAAATTCTGGGAAGGCAATCATGAGAAGGCAATCCAGAAGGGAAAAAGCATAGAGGCATTAGGTGTATGTGGCATATTTGCCTATTTGAGCCCAGTGATTGGAAATGAAATTAAGGAGTGATGGGGGTCAAGAAAATAGGCTAAAGCCACATCAGAGAGGGCCTTGAATGGAATTCAAATTTTGACTTCTATTCCCTGGGCCATGAACAGCCCTATAAGGCTTTTGTGTGGGAAACAACCTAATATGTTTACACTTTACACCTAATCTCATTGAGATTATGATGAATGTTGTTTTCACTGGGATTTGTGGCTACTTGAGTTATCTCTACTTCCAAGTTCAGCCTCATGGGTCATAGCCACCCTGACTGGCCAAGACCTGAGCTTATACTTAAGATCCAGGAGAAGGAAATACTCAGGTTACCTTCTCCTCTTTGGCTGCAGAAACTCATGGTGGAAACTAGGCTACTTGGGAATAGAAGCTTCTATGGAGAAAAAGACACACTAATGTTAGGCAAAATGGCCAGTGC